TCACTAAATATTACCCTGCTCACACTCCGAGGAACAATGAAAACAGTCGACAAGGTACGATCCTGGAATTCGATTATTAAAATATATGACAAACCTACCAATGTTGTCAAACTATGAAGAGCGAGCGTTGCGTACATCATCAATAGTACCATGCTGATTATGAATGTTATTTTATGCTTTCTTGGTCTTTAGATCCTTAATGAAATCTTATATTGCCATAATCCTTGCGGTTAATTGTGTTTTTCACAACAAGAAAGGCATAGGAAAGTTCTTGAAAGGGACATTTTAGATAATACTGAAAGACTTTCTTTGCTCTTCTTCACATGCTGTATAGTCCTTGTGGCTTAGCGCTTCTTTTTGATTATAATAATAATAATGCTCTTCTTCACCAGCAAGTCTTCCTGCTGTTCCTCACTGGCTGCTCTTAGTCTGTTTTAGGCCCTGTCTTGTAGACACATTTCCATTCACTCATCAAGTACTGTTGGCGTTGTATAGGATAACAGCACATTTGTTCTGACACGCATAGCACGCATAATTAAGAATCCCTTAAGGCTTAAGGAGTACCTTTAAGAGGTCTGATTTTTTTCCTTCCTCCAACTTTTCGATTTTATTTCGCTTACAACTCTAGAACGTCTCATCCAATCGTATTCAAATTTTCAACTCTTGTGTACATTAATGAGACCATTCTGAATAATTGTACATATTTATGTGACCTATGACCAAGTTGTTGAACTTCCAACGTCCTGGACGGCTAATTAAGTTATAAAGCCTTAAGAGGTACTTAAAAGTCAGAATTTTTCCTTCCTAATTGGAATTATGAAGTGAAATTCAAGTGTCTCATCAATCGTATTCAAGTTTTCAATGACTTAATGATTTTTTTTATTCGTCGAAAGTTGAAATTAATGTAACCTTCAAGTTCTTGAACGCTTCTTTACGTCTGAATGTTTAGTATAAAACTAGTAGGGTAACTTTGTTCAGTTGCAGAAATGTTCTTATGATAACAAGGAATTAAGAATTCAATGAATTGAAGTTCAAATTGCGGAAATCATCTGATGGTTTTTTAGGTGCTCCGTTTCACATGACGTTTAAAAAAATGTTCATTTTACTTCTATAACTCTTCAGTATTTATGAAGTTTTAACGGCCAGGAGTTATTACCTTAACATAATATATCAGATGTAAATTGTCATAATTTTAAAGGTTGAAACTTGGATAATCCAACGTGCCATCAACTGACCAAAACACTCATAGGGGCTTTTAAGGGTGCTAAGTTTCCCTGTAACTTATACTTTCCAATTTTTCCCTATATCTAACCTCTTCCATAATTACTACAGCATTTGCTTTGTCAGTGTGGGTTTAGAGCAGGTCGCTCCTGCCTCTCACAACTATTCGACCACTATGACATTGTCTTGGATACACTGGAGGACAAACAAAATGTAGATGCAGTCTACACAGATTTTGCAAAAGCCCACAACAAGTGCGGCGACCACGGTGTTACAGTTTAACATCTTTATGATGCACATCATACCCATCCTGTGGCCGGTAGTCCATAGATTACAGAAGTACATAATGGGTTCAGGTGTGAAAAAAATTCTCCACAAAGGGGGATATCAGCCCCTTTCAGCCTCCCGAGGGACTCAACCCTCTCAGAGAGAGCAAATGGCGTCTTGCTTCCAATCAACAATTTAATTGGAAGCAGATGCAGTACCAGCATGTACCAGATCAATTTCGACATCAAACTTGGACTCAGCATGCTGTTTATATTACATAAGAACATCTAAATTTATATCTGTACAGACCCAACATATATTTTTTTGTTGTGCAGTGTAGTGTAACCAAAATTTACACTCTAGATTACTATCTCCACACTTAACATGTTATATCGAACTTATTGTTCGATATAACGTGTTTATTTTTTAATTTTAAGTTCTATAAAAAATGGTTGTAACTATTACCTGGAGTTTACCTGGAGAGAGTTCCGGGGGTCAACGCCCCCGCGGCCCGGTCTGTGACCAGGCCTTCTGGTGGATCAGAGCCTGATCAACCAGGCTGTTGCTGCTGGCTGCACGCAAACCAACGTACGAGCCACAGCCGGGCTGATCAGGAACTGACTTTAGGTGCTTGTCCAGTGCCAGCTTGAAGACTGCCAGGGGTCTGTTGGTAATCCCCCTTATGTGTGCTGGGAGGCAGTTGAACAGTCTCGGGCCCCTGACACTTATTGTATGGTCTCTTAACGTGCTAGTGACACCCCTGCTTTTCATTGGGGGGATGGTGCATCGTCTGCCAAGTCTTTTGCTTTCGTAGTGAGTGATTTTCGTGTGCAAGTTCGGTACTAGTCCTCTCTAGGATTTTCCAGGTGTATATAATCATGTATCTCTCCCTCCTGCATTCCAGGGAATACAGGTTTAGGAACCTCAAGCGCTCCAGTAATTGAGGTGTTTTATCTCCGTTATGCGCGCCGTGAAAGTTCTCTGTACATTTTCTAGGTCGGCAATTTCACCTGCCTTGAAAGGTGCTGTTAGTGGCAGCAATATTCCAGCCTAGATAGAACAAGTGACCTGAAGAGTGTCATCATGGGCTTGGCCTCCCTAGTTTTGAAGTTCTCATTATCCATCCTGTCATTTTTCTAGCAGATGCGATTGATACAATGTTATGGTCCTTGAAGGTGAGATCCTCCGACATGATCACTCCCAGGTCTTTGACGTTGGTGTTTCGCTCTATTTTGTGGCCAGAATTTGTTTTGTACTCTGATGAAGATTTAATTTCCTCATGTTTACCACATCTGAGTAATTGAAATTTCTCATCGTTGAACTTCATATTGTTTTCTGCAGCCCACTGAAAGATTTGGTTGATGTCCGCCTGGAGCCTTGCAGTGTCTGCAATGGAAGACACTGTCATGCAGATTCGGGTGTCATCTGCAAAGGAAGACACGGTGCTGTGGCTGATATCCTTGTCTATGTCGGATATGAGGATGAGGAACAAGATGGGAGCGAGTACTGTGCCTTGTGGAACAGAGCTTTTCACCGTAGCTGCCTCGGACTTTACTCTGTTGACGACTACTCTCTGTGTTCTGTTAGTGAAGGAAATTATAGATCCATCGACCGACTTTTCCTGTTATTCCTTTAGCACGCATTTTGTGCGCTATTACGCCATGGTCACACTTGTCGAAGGCTTTTGCAAAGTCTGTATATATTACATCTGCATTCTTTTTGTCTTCTAGTGCATTTAGGACCTTGTCGTAGTGATCCAATAGTTGAGACAGACAGGAGCGACCTGTTCTAAACCCATGTTGCCCTGGGTTGTGTAACTGATGGGTTTTCTAGATGGGTGGTGATCTTGCTTCTTAGGACCCTTTCAAAGATTTTTATGATGTGGGATGTTAGTGCTATTGGTCTGTAGTTCTTTGTTGTTGCTTTACTGCCCCCTTTGTGGAGTGGGGCTATTCTGTTGTTTTTAGTAACTGTGGGACGACCCCCGTGTCCATGCTCCCTCTCCACAGGATGGAAAAGGCTCGTGATAGGGCTTCTTGCAGTTCTTGATGAACACAGAGTTCCATGAGTCTGGCCCTGGGCAGAGTGCATGGGCATGTCATTTATCGCCTGTTCGAACCATTTGGCGTCAGGATAACATCGGATAGGCTTGTGTTAATCAAATTTTGTGGCTCTCTCATAAAAAATTCATTTTGATCTTCGACTCTCAGTCTGGTTAGCGGCTTGCTAAAAACTGAGTCATAGTGGGACTTGAGTAGCTCGCTCATTTCCTTGCTGTCATCTGTGTAGGACCCATCTTGTTTAAGTAGGGGCCCAATACTGGACGTTGTTCTCGATTTTGATTTGGCATAGGAGAAGAAATACTTTGGGTTTCTTTCGATTTCATTTGTTGCTTTTAGTTCTTCCTGCGATCCTGACTCCTAAAGGATTCTTTTAGCTTAAGTTCGATGCTTGCTATTTCTCTGACCAGTGTCTCCCTACGCATTTCAGATATATTGACCTCTTTTAGCCGCTCTGTTATTCTTTTCCGTCGCCTGTAAAGGGAGCGCCTGTCTCTTTCTATTTTACATCTACTCCTCCTTTTTCTTAGAGGAATAAGCCTTGTGCATACATCGAGTGCCACCGAGTTAATCTGTTCTAGGCATAAGTTGGGGTCTGTGTTCCTTAGTATATCTTCCCAGCTTATATCGGTTAGGACTTGGTTTACTTGGTCCCACTCTATGTTTTTGTTATTGAAGTTGAATTTGGTGAATGCTCCCTCGTGACTAGTCTCATTATGTCGGTCTGGGGCTCCACGCATACATGTCTGAACCTCAATTATGTTGTGATCTGAGTATATTGCTTTTGATATGGTGACATTTCTTATCAGATCATCATTGTTAGTGAAGATGAGGTCTAGTGTATTCTCCAGTCTAGTAGGCTCTATTATTTTGCTGGTTTAAATGAATTTTGTGCAGAGATTTAAAAGCTCGTGTGAGTGTGAGTTTTCATCAGAGCTGCCTCCTGGTGTTATTACTGCAACAATATTATTTACTATATTCCTCCATTTTAGGTGCCTTAAGTTGAAATCCCCCAGGAGCAAGATGTTGGGTGCAGGAGCTGGAAGATTTTCCAGACAGTGGTCAATTTTTAACATCTGTTCCTGGAATTGCTGGGATGTTGCATCCGGAGGCTTGTAGACTACCACAATGACTAGGTTTTGGTTCTCGACCTTTACTGCTAAAACTTCCACTATGACCATAATTTTTAAAGTGGTGGACCGGTGAGGTCCACAACGGCAGGTGATCATAAGTCCCGCGTCAGGAAACGCTTCTCTTGTTTCCAGACGAACCTCACCTAGCCTAACCTAATTTTAAGTTTTAATAATGAGGTATAGTAATGGAGTCGCAGTACTCTCCAAAATCAGTGGTTTCTTAATTAGCTTGTACTCCATTCCATTTATTATTTGTAACCTTTGTATTTGTTTTAATAAACTTCATTTTCATTTTCATTGCCATTTTCATGTGTGTCAGTGTGTGGGCACGGTACATGTGTAGCAGTGGAGGGTGTGTGGGCACGGCCAGGGACTTACACGTGAGGGTGTTCGCTGTGGGGCGACCAGAAGCTGACACCATCCATCAGCATCCTGTCTGCAGGTCAGCTTCCACCTCCACTCTCAATATTATTCTGTCTTGATTTTAAAGTTGTTTTATTAGGTCTTTTTCAGGAAGATTTTATATAGAGTATGTATGATATTTTTTTTCCTTATTAATTATATAAACACAACATTTTGTACAATTCTAGATATAAAAGAGGTTCAACATAATTATGGCATTTACACTTTATATATAGTTAAAAGATTTACATAAAGACTTCTAGCGTCATGTGAATGAAAATAAAAATCTTATCAGATCTACAACCCTTTATAATAACAATAAAAGGTCAAGAGAGGCCTGAGCTTGCTACCATCTGCAGCTCACAAGACTGCCATCCCCACGAGCCCCTTTGAGGCGGGGTAGATGGCAGACCAGAGGCCTAGCTTCTCCCTACGAGCCCCGTGAGGGCGGGGAATGTGGCTAGGCCTGGGGACACTTGGTCCCAAAGATGAGGAGGTACTGTACCTCCTCCCATGGGAGACTTAAGTCTCGAGACACTCCCCAGATAGGGAGCCAAGGCCGGGTCACCACTACTTGGAAAAGACCCGGGCCGGGAGAATACCGGCGACAAAAAAAAAAAAAATAATAATAACAACGAACACCGAATTTCAGTGTAAACAGATTGTCTGACATGAACAATTACACCACATAGAGAAAAGCCCTTCTTCTATATATATATATTTTTTTTTTACGACGAGCCTTATCAAGTAAATGGAAGGAATACCATAAGAATGATGATGATGATGTGTGTATGTGTACTCACCTATTTGTACTTGCCTAATTGTGGTTGCAGGGGTCGAGACTCGGCTCCTAGTCCCGCCTCTTCACTGACCGCTACTGGATCCTCCCTCTCCCTGCTCCATGAGCTTTATTATACCTTGTCTTATAACTATGTATGGTTCCTGCCTCCACTGGAGACCTGGAGTTTACCTGGAGAGAGTTCCGGGGGTCAACGCCCCCGCGGCCCGGTCTGTGACAAGGCCTCCTGGTGGATCAGAGCCTGATCAACCAGGCTGTTACTGCTGGCTGCACGCAAACCAACGTACGAGCCACAGCCCGGCTGGTCAGGAACCGACTTTAGGTGCTTGGCCAGAGCCAGCTTGAAGACTGCCAGGGGTCTGTTGGTAATCCCCCTTATGTATGCTGGGAGGCAGTTGAACAGTCTCGGGCCCCTGACACTTACTGTATGGTCTCTTAACGTGCTAGTGACACCCCTGCTTTTCATTGGGGGGATGTTGCATCGTCTGCCAAGTCTTTTGCTTTTGCTGGACTATTCCACTTCTTAGCAACTCTGTGGCTGAAGAAATGCTTCCTAACATCCCTCTGGCTCATCTGAGTCTTCATCTTCCAATTGTGTGTGTGTGTGTGTTGTGTGTGTGTGTGTGTGTGTGGTGTGTGTGTGTGTGTGTGTGTGTGTGTGTGTGTTGTGTGTGTGTGTGTGTGTGTGTGTGTGTGTGTGTAACCTAATTAATGCCTGCATAAATAACTCGTTACGATTGTGACCGGATATAAACATGTAAATAGTTCATTATTTCTTTATACCTGGAGAGGGTTTCGGAGATCAACGCCCCCGTGGCCCGGTATGTGACAAGGTCTCCTGGTGAATCAGGGCTTGATCAACCAGGCTGTTACTGCTGGCCTCATGCAAGCCGACGTACGAATCACAGCCCGGATGGTCTGGTACTGACTTTAGGTGTCTGTCCAGCGACTTCTTGAAGACAGCCAGGGGTCTATAACTGTAACCTGTTCAGCTGTCAAAACTTTGTTGTCCAGTCCCTGGTCCCATTATGTACCTCTGTAATCTTTTTGACTATCTCCCACAGGATGGGTATGTGGTGTAATAAAGATGTTCAACTGTAACACCATGGTCGTCGCACTTGTCTCAGGCTTTCGCAAATTCTGTGTATACTACATCTACATTTTGTTTGTCCTCCAGTGTATCCAAGACAATGTCATAGTGGTCAAATAGTTGTGAGAGGCAGGAGCGACCTGCTCTGAACCCATACTGCCTGGGTTGTGCAATTGTTGGGTGCAGGGGATTGGCGATCTTGCTTCTTAGAAACCTTGCAAGGATTTTTATGATGTGGGACGTTAGCGCTTTCAGTTTACAGACGCCCATGGCCATCTTTCCCTTCCTTGGGCTGTGAAATCGTATACCTAGCAGAATTTAGGTGCAAATGTACCAACTTATTGCACTGGAATCCATAACTAATATCATTATAAATGCAGAACATTACTTAACGTAGCATTACTATCATTATGTAGTTGAAATAAAGGATTATAAGTTATCACACGTAATAACTCCTAACTTGTTTGCACTTCAAACCATCATGACAAGAGGCTGTCATCTTGAACTTTGTGTGAGACAGGTGTATCCCGTAGTCTGTCCTCATAAGGATAGGAAGGTTCCTCTCATTCCTTTTCCCTTCCCTTCAGTCATATGGAGGTAAGTTCCTACTCACTTCCTCACCTCCTCTTATGACGTCTTTGGATTTCTCCACGTTCTTTCAGCTGATCTATAACTTAATAATATAGTGATTCTCTATTTTTAAAAGCAAGTGTGAAAACTAGTTATGTTAGCTAAGTTTAATATGTTTATTACACACCACATACCCATCCTGTGGGCGATAGTCAAAAAGATTACAGAGGTACATAATGGGTCCAGGGACTGAGCCCTAAAGTTTTTATAGCTGAACAAGTTACAAAGGTAATGAACCATTCACACGTCCACACCTGATAATAAACGCAATGAGTCATTAATGCAAATAATAGCTTTATTTACAGAGAGCAAAATCAGGGTATTTTTCCAGAATGAATTGTAATATACCATTGTGGATAAAATATTATGACATATCCTGAAGATTTCTGAGTGAGTTGTCTCTGAATACATTAATTTTGTCGCATTCCAGCACATAATGACGCAAGGTGTGACAATAGTCCATCTGGCAAAGTTTACATTTCGTTTGGTCTACATCTGGTGGTGGTGATTTAACCTGCCAAAGATACTTGTAACCCAGCCGGAGCCGGGCAGTAGTGACATCCAAGAGTCTGCTTATTTTGTTGGATGCACCATAGACATGTGGCTCCTGCATGATGATAGATGGACTGACTGGTGTCAGTTTCCCTCAGTCTTAAGTCAATAAAGTTCAGTTGAAGTTCTTTTCGTATTATTGTTCTCAGACTTCTAACTGAGAAGCGAAGATTGTAATCTACTCTCTCTCTTTGAAAACATACAACTTAGCCGGCTCATTACTTCTGCCATGCATCTGAAGACCAATGTGAGATGGAATTCACAGAAGGTGCACCCTGACTCCACCGTACCTGAGTCTGGCTTCTGACACAAGCATGCCACAATTTATACTTAATGAGTATAGGGCATTTATGGATGATAGAAAATCAGTAACAATTAAAGTGTCTACCTTCGATACATGGACGCATTTAAGTGCAAGGAGTATGGCAAATAGTTCTGATTGAAGGGTAGAGGCCTAGTAATTGATGCGTGCTCCAATTTCTTCATGAGAGCCATCACTCTGTATGACAACAGCAGCACTACCAGCTGCACCAGTGTATGACAACAGCAGCACTACCAGCTGCACCAGTGTATGACAACAGCAGCACTACCAGCTGCACCAGTAGACTGGTGAACAGAACCATCAACATAAATTATTTGTGAAAGAGTGTGCTGTGTGACTAAGTTATATATACAGCTTAAGGCACCCTGTTTGGCTTCAAGGCGAAGCTTTGGCTGTGATTTAAGATTTTTGGGGGAAAATAGAGGGAGGGTAGATTGGAATGGGGTTAATATCCCATGGAGCGGGGAAGTGCTGCTGTTGCCTTACTTGACATAAATCATGTATCTGGTTCATGCGGAGGTCAGTTCCAGTTTTTTCAATCCATCTGGAGGAGTGCTTACCAGTGCTGAGGAAAGTTTGGAGGGCGTCTGTGCAAGGGTTTGAATGGGCTTGCCTGAGCATATATTGGGCCAGCGGAAACTTGACCACTTATAGATCATCTGATAAAGACTCGTGTCTGGGAGCATTGTCCTGTTTTTATACAAACAAAACACCACCACCAACACATGCTGGGAGTTTACTGAGTGATATCTTACGTAGCATCTTCTGAGGGTTGTCTAAGTGAGGTGTGCATGTTGCAGAGTTTGTGGATCACCACTGGTGGAGGATCCATCATCTCGGGAGCTGAGTGAGAAGACCAGAGTGATGGTACTTAGCGATGCTCAAGCTTCTGCTCTCACCAAAGACGTTCACATTCGTGTACCTGCTCTTAACCTTGTCCTCAGAGGTCAGTAGTTTTTTTAAGTCGCTACTACTGTTGTCTTCTTTTTCATCATCTACTTCTTGTTTTCTTCTTCTTCTTCTTCTTCTTCTTCTTCTTCTTCTTTTTGTTTTTTCTTTTTCCTTTTCTTTTCTTCTTCTTCTTCTTCTTCTTCTTCTTCTTCTTCTTCTTCTTCTTCTTCTTCTTCTTCTTCTTCTTCTTCTTCTTATTATTATTATTATTATTATTATTATTATTATTATTATTATTATTGTTATTATAATTATTATTATTATTATTATTATTATTATTATTATTATTATTATTATTATTATTATTATTATCATCATCATTATTAGTTTTCTTTAGAACAAAAATCACTATTGTTCTTAGCATTCATAAGAACACATGTTATCTTGAAACAAAAACTACAGATATATCTTATATAAATAGTAATGGAACACTCAACAATGATTGCTAAATATATTGCAAGCAATATAAATATTTCAGGGTATATCAACACAGGCTGTGTGGGATTTTGCTTCAGAAGAGTATTCAGAAACGATTATAATAAAGGAACCACTAAGTGGATTAATACTCATCTTTGTTGATGAACTCTCGTGACCCCCCACAACCTCTCCCAGAGGTTTCGCCTCCGTAGTTCACTGTCTACAGACCCTCCAGGGCTGTCTAGAAGGTGATTAAAATTAGGGTTAACATGCACTGTTGACATGTAACTCCCATATGTCAGGTATATCACCTGGAAATCATGGGCAGCCCTAACAAACTCAACGCCGTGATCAGCAGGTCTTTGCCCAGACACAGGGCAAAGAACTGCTGATCACGGCGTTGAGTTTGTTAGTCTTATCAACCCCACCTATACCCTTCTGCTGCAGCGGAAAGATGAAACAAAGGGCTCGATGAAGACTTATCTGGGTGTGTGTGCAGACTGAAACGCCGATATAGTTAGTTGGCTTGATTGAAGAGATGACGCCTTCACTTATGTCGTCTGCTTGGCACATATCTTCTGACAATTATCACTTGTCCATATGTTGGACTAGGGATCTACATCTGTGGATGATATCCACAGTAAAAAGAAAGTTCTCCTTACTTTGTTTGATATACGAATGAGACACAAGGAAAATAGTTCTCCCGCGACGCTCGATTCATTTACTAATAGTCCGGAACTATTCACGACAGGAAGAATGTCTGGCATTAGTGCGAGGAGGAGTTAGTTATTTCTTCCACAATTCTTCCGGGAGATTGTCAGTGTGGCTACGAATTTAAGATGTACACGAGATATGGCCACGAATATCTCTACGTTTCGACGCAGTATGGCCTCCGTATGCCCCGGAACGTTTCGTCACATCTTCACTCGCCGAAAACAAACTGCAATCTGCCCTACCACCCTCTGCACCCCCCTTTCCAGGGAGGTTCCGCTGAGTTGTATCGAATAATGCCTCTAACTATATTATCAAGTTCGAGGCAAATTATCTCCAATTTTTAACGGCCTGGGAAACTGCAGTTCCCTCAGACTAACACGTGAGTGTACAGTCTAGCAGAGACTTTCATGAGGAGGGAAGTGGTCTTGTGACGCTGTAGTGTAGCATATACATCTGATCTATGATTAGTTTCATTTAGTTTTGTTTGCTGATGGTCACATGCAAGCTGAGCTATTGCTTAGGTGCACTTAGTAATCTCTCCAGATCTCCAGATTTTGAAATGAGTAAGAAGGATCGTAGCCCCTTTGAGACAGAGGGGATATCGCCATTTTCTTAAATGGAGAATTTCCTGCACACAACAGAGAAGTATATGTAGTCTGTGTTGATATATGCTCGGTTTACTTTAATTCCTATTTTAGGGATTTATGTATTCTTGTCTGGTGGTGAGAAACTTACTTGGCAGCTGATGATTCTAGTGTAGCCGATATGCTTTAAACCCCCATGGACCAAGACCAAAGTAAATCACAGGATATATACACCCAAGTATATATGCTCAGAGTTTAATTCCTATTCTAGGGATTAAAGTATTCTTGTCTGGTGGGAGAGGGGCTACCCTGCAGCCTTACTGGCACTAGTGTAATCAATAGGTTTTAACCCTATTAACCAACCAAAATATATCGCATACAAAATAGATAAATAAAAAAACAATAAATAAATAAACAACTACCTACAATGTAGCTTCAAAGGAACATAATTACTAGTTGGCAAATAATTAAATTTTAAATTTGGTTTGGCAGTTTTAGGTCTAGTAATTTTTCTAATAATACCTTATTCTCTTTGTCTTCCATGATGCTAAGTCATCAATGACGTTGTCATAAAAAAATGCCCCCAAACTACCCGATTAATGCTGATTACCCTCAAATAGACTATTTTACACTAAAGTAGAAGCAGCCGATATTAATGAAAACAACACTGAGCTTACGTCGCCCATGCCACAAGTAGGCACTGAGTTTAATATCTTTATTATGCACTTATGTCCATCTGTGGGTGGTAGTTAAAAGATTAAAGAGCCGGAAAGTTTTGTTAAAGTGGTAATGAACTATTTACATGTTTATATCTGGTTACAATCGTAGTGAGTTATTTATACAGACATGAATTAGGTCACAAAAATATTACAAAAATATTACCTTATATTTTAGCAAGGTATAATTGTAAAAAAGGGGTCCGTAGTAATTTTAAAACTAGCCTCTGTGTACATAGGGGATTATGGAATAGGAGCCTTACGCCTCAAGCCAGTAAACTTTTACTTGACTGCTTCCAGAAAGTCACTTTCAGCATAGTCATCACAAATTGCAACCACACAACAGAGTGAAAATCTAAAGTGAAGGCCCTTGGAGTGATAATATCAGGGAATTTCACTCTCAAAGATCACAAAGTTTCTGTAATATCTGCTAGGAAAATGATATAATGGATAATTATGAGAGCCTTCAAAACTAGGGATGTCAAGCCCATGATGATTCTTTTAAACTGCTTGTTGTCTCTAAGCTGGAATATTGATGGAACAGCGAACTTTTACTGCACATATGAGTACAATAAAGCATCTAAATTACTGGGAAAGGTTGAAGTCCCTTGATCTGTACTCCCTGGAACGCAGGCGAGATAAATACATGATAATATACACTTGGAAAATCTTATAGGGACTAGTCCCAAATCTGCACACGGAAATCACTCCCAGTGAATGCAAAAGACTCGTAATGAAAAGCAGGGGCGCCATGAGTAAACTAAGAGACAGCACCGTAAGTGTCAGGGGCCAAGACTGTTCAACTGCTTCCCAGCGTATATAAGGGGGATTACAAATAGACCCCTGGCTGTCTTCAAGAGGAAGCTGTACAGGCACCTAAAGTCAGTACCTGACCAGCCGGGCTGCTTTTCATACTTCGATTTACGTGCGGCCAGCAGTAACAGCCTGGCTGATCAAGCCCTGGTCCACCACGAGACCTGGTCATGGAATGGGCCGCGGGGGTGATGACCCCCGCATTTTGCCAGGGTAATGTTACTGAGCTTTACTCAGTCATCTAACAGTTTCCACCGCAACTTTCCAGCAACATCGTCTCTTCCCATTTCCAGTTTGCAAATTGCTTGTGAGTTTAATTCTTGGTTAATATTCTTCACAGGTGTTGCCATGCAATATATTCACAGCTAAGGCACAATTAGGAGAATTTTTAGACGATGCTTCGCTTCGTCCTGTACCATGTTGGTCACTCGCAACTTAATAATGGTCCAGGACGAGACCGAAACGTCTCCTGAATCTCCTTTCTGATTTTTTCCTTCACTGTTTTGTGGATTTTATTCTAAATAAAGAGTATATATATTGTACAGACGAGATGTTGCAAGGGATAGTACCTGGTCAGCAGGTGTTAGCGACGGTGATGATCGTGCCTCAGCAGCTGCCACTGCTGCCTTCCCTGGAAGCTGTCACCCTACACCCACCACCACCTCTCAGACCACCCTCCTCACTTCCGCCCATCTTCAGGTCAGTCAACTCTGCCACCTATACTGGCTTACCGAATGTCTGTAAATGTAATAAAAAACACAATAAAGCTTCAATTAAAACTCCATCTTTCCATTACTCGGATCAGTCATAATTACCTTCCGTTTTCCAGGTGCTGTGTGACCTTTATGGCTTGAGAGCTTCTCCATTCTATTACTACTACTACAACTACTAGTAATAATAATAATTTTCCTTTCTTTTTGCTGAACGTTTAATTTTGTGGCTCATACAGTGGACCTTTGGTCACGAACGCTTCCGAACACGAACAAATCGGTTCACGACCGAAAAATTAGCCAAATTTTTACATTTGGTCACGAACACATAATCGGGCGCCCAACAAACACAACCGCGCCAATTTTCACATTCTGCGCAAGTTTTTCGCACATTCCACTGTATATTATTAAATGTCAGCCAGTTTTGTAAAAAATTACTGCGTTATGTGGCAGTAAAGCATTTTATCTAGATATTCCTTGAGAACTGTAGAGAAGCTCAGTCATCCATAAGCTCTAGACTTGGCATAACCCCAGTACTTAACATAACCCCAGCACTCAACTTAACCCCCAACAGTTAACATAATCCTCAACACTTAAAATTACCCCTAACACAATCCCCAACAGTTAACATAACCCAACACTCAACATAACCCCCAACAGTTAACATAACCCTCAACACTCAACATAACCCCCAACAGTTAACATAACCCTCAACACTCAGCATAACCCCCAACACTTAACATAACCCCAACACTCAACATAACCCCCAGCACAACCTTCAACAGTTAACATAACCCTCAACACTCAACATAACCCCCAACACTTAACATAACCCCAACACTCAACATAACCCCCAGCACAACCTTCAACAGTTAACATAACCCTCAACACTCAACATAACCCCCAACACTTAACATAACCCCAACACTCAACATAACCCCCAACAGTTAACATAACCCTCAACACTCAACATAACCCCAACACTTAACATAACCCCAGCACTCAACATAACCCCCAGCACAACCCACAACATTTAACATAACCCCAATACTCAACATAACCCCAACACACAACATAACCCCAATACACAACATAACCCCAACACTCAACATAACCCCAACACTCAACATAACCCCAACACTCAACATAACCCCGAACACTCAACATGACCTCGAACACTCAACCCCGAACACTCAACATAACCCCAACACTCAACATAACCCCAACACTCAACATAACCCCGAACACTCAACATGACCCCAACACTCAACATAACCCCAACACTCAACATAACCCCGAACACACAACATAACCCCAACACTCAACATGACCCCAACACTCAACATAACCCCGAACACTCAACATAACCCCGAACACTCAACATAACCCCAACACTCAACATAACCCCGAACACTCAACATAACCCCAACACTCAACATAATCCCAACACTCAACATAACCCCAACACTCAACATAACCCCAACACTCAACATAACCCCAACACTCAACATAATCCCAACACTCAACATAACCCCGAACACTCAACATAACCCAACACTCAACATAACCCCGAACACTCAACATAACCCCAACACTCAACATAAACCCAACACTCAACATAACCCCAACACTCAACATGACCCCAACACTCAACATAACCCCAACACTCAACAGGAACCCCAACAATCAACATTAATTGGTACAAATATTTTATTTCTGTTGATTGTTTTTTTGTCTTCTAACAATATCTACATAGATGTACTACAATTGTTTCAATCGCTTATTCTCTCTAGGCGGGAATATTGCTGTGCACTAACTGCCCCTTCAAGGCAGGCGAAATTGCTGACCGGGAGAGTATACAGAGAACTTGCACGGCACACATAAGTACGATAAAGCACCTAAATTACTGGGAACGGTTGAAGTCCCTTGATTTGTTTTCCCTGGAATGCAGGCGAGAAAGACACATGATAATATACACTTGGAAAATTTTAGAGGGATTAATACTAAAACTACACACGAAAATCACTCTCTACGAAAGCAAAAGACTCAGCAGGTGATGCAACATTCCCCCAATGAAAAGCAAGGGTGCCACGAGTATACTAAGAGACAACACAGTAAGTGTAAGGGGCCCAAGACTGTTTAACTGCCTCCCAGCATACATAAGGGGGATTACCAATAGACCCCTGGCTGTCTTCAAGAAGGCGCTGGACAAACACCTAAAGTCAGTAACTTATCAACCAGGCCGTAGTTCGTACGTCGGTTTACGTGTGGCCAGCAGTAACAGCCTGGTTGGTCAGACCCTGATCCACCACGAGGCCTGGTGTCAGATCAGGGTTGGGGACATTGACCCCCGAAACCCTATCTAGGTAATCTAGGTAAACGCCAATTTTTCCCACTTCCTGTTGTTTGTGTTCACCTAACAAAGACCCTCGCTTTGTAGTCAGTCTAGGTCTAAAGGACCCCAATGGAAATAAATCACTCTGAGTTTTTTGGGTTATCCCAGGTTCTCTACACATATGCTGCTATGTATGATAATTCTATGTAACTGTATTTGTGTATACCTGAATAAACTTACTTACTAGGTCAGACGTGCGTTCATTCCCTTTGAATTCCTTGTGTTGTATTTCGTGTGTTTTTGAATTCATTTTGTTTTCTTGGTTGTTTACAGTATTTTTTCTCTCTTATTTAAGGGTTTTTCTCTATTAAACTGTGCATTATTTTGTATAATTAAGGACCTTTCAAACTTTGATTATTTTTTCTTCACTTAAAACTCTTAAAAAAAGAAAAAACTGTTCACAGCGAACGGCTCGTAGGACTCTAGCACGGACTCGCGCAATGTTAGTTTGCTCTGTTGTTCAAGGTTTTCTCTGTTAATTAAGGTTTTTACATTTAGTTTACTATTACACTGTGCATTCTATGGCATAATTAACTATTTTTGTGCTTAAAAATCTTAAAAAACAACATTTACATACTTTTTTGGGGTTACCCTGGGTTTCTCTATAATATCTGATGTATGATAATCGTGTAACTGTTTTTGTTATCCTGAATGAATTTACTTACTTACTTAGTTCGTGGGATCGGGAAAACGGATAATCGTATTTCATAAAATCCAGGGGGAAATTTGGTTGGGGCAGCCCCAAACGGCCGTGACCAGTTTTAAAACGAATTAGGTTGTGCCCGGGAGTTCCATGAAAGGGTTTTTTTTCGGCAGAATTTAGTTTGTTTAGTTTCCAGACTTAACCACGGGGTGCTACCTGTCACCCCTTGGAATTTGAAAAAAAAAAAGGGCTGCCGGGGTGATCAATGATCATCTTAAATTTCATAAAGACACTTTTAAATTAAATAAATTTCATATTTCAATTTTTATATAAAAGAGATTACTTTTTGTGCGTAGTCATGTTATTAATATATGAAGTGCAAGATGGCACCAGTTTAATTTTGTTTTTTTAATATAATAATGGATTGATAAGAATGTCACCAATCAAAAAAATAAACCAGATCACCAAAATTTGAGGTTCAGACAGTATGCGAGGAGCCCAACCGACAAATGAACTATCCGGGGGACATTCACCAAATTCAACTTCAATAAAAAAAAACATAAAGTGAGACCAAAGAAACCCCAACCCTACCCAATAAGGGGGGAAGATATACTAAGCAACACAGACCCAAATTATCCCCAAAACAGATTAATCGGGGCACTGATGTATGCAAAAGGCTTTATTCCCTTAAGAAAAAGGAGGGGTAGATGTAAAAAAAAAAGAGACAGGCGCTCCCTTTTCAGGCGACGGAAAAGAATAACAGACGGGTAAAAGAGGTCAATATATCAAAAAAGCGCAGGGAACACGCAGAGAAAAGCAAGCATCGAACTTAAGCTAAAGAATCCTTTGGGGGCAGGAATGCGGGAAGAACTAAAAGCTATAAATGAAACGAAAGAAAACCCCAAAATATTTCTTTTCCTATGCCAAATCAAAAACGAGAACAAGCCCAGTATTTGGGGCCCCCACTTAAACTAGAGGGCCTACACAGATGACAGCAAGGAAATGAGTGACACTCAAGTCCCCAATAGACCATTTTTAGCAAGCCGCTAAACCGACTGAGAGTCGAAGACAAAAAATGAATTTTTTTTTTGGGGGCCCCAAAATTTGATTAACACAACTATCCGATGTTATCCTGACCCAAATGACTTTGAAAAGGCGAAAATGACATGCCCATGCACCTGCCCCAGGGCCAGACTCATGGAACTCTGTGTTCATCAAGAACTGCAAGAAGCCCCTATCACGAGCCTTTTCCATCCTATGGAGAGGGAGCAGGGACACGGGGGTCGTCCCTCAGTTACTAAAAACAACAGACATAGCCCCCTCACAAAGGGGCAGTAAAGAAACAGCAAAGAACTACAGACCAATAGCACTAACATCCCATACATAAAAATCTTTGAAAGGGTCCTAAGAAGCAAGATCACCCCCCATCTAGAAACCCCATCATTTTACACAACCCAGGGCAACATGGGTTTAGAACGGGTTTCGCTCCTGTCTGTCTCAACTATGGATCACTACGAAAAGGTCCTAAATGCACTAGAAGACAAAAAGAATGCAGAGTAATATATACAGACTTTCAAAAGCCTTCGACAAGTGTGACCATGGCGTAATAGCGCACCAAAATGCGCGCTAAAGGAATAACAGGAAAAGTCGGTCGATGGATCTATAATTTCCTCACTAACAGAACACAGAGAGTAGTCGTCAACAGAGTAAAGTCGAGGCAGCTACGGTGAAAAGCTCTGTTCCACAAGGCACAGTACTAGCTCCCATCTTGTTCCTCATCCTCATATCCGACATAGACAAGGATGTCAGCCACAGCACCGTGTCTTCCTTTGCAGATGACACCCGAATCTGCAGGGACAGTGTTTTCCATTGCAGACACTGCAAGGCTCCAGGCGGACATCAACCAAATCTTTCAGTGGGCTGCAGAAACAATATGAAGTTCAACGTTTGAGAAAATTTCAATTACTCAGATATGGTAAACATGAGGAAATTAAATCTTCATCAGAGTACAAAACAAATTCTGGCCACGAAATAGAGCGAAACACCAACGCAAAGACTGGGAGTGATTATGTCGGAATCTCCCTTCAAGGCCCATAACATTGTATCAATCGCATCTGCTAGAAAAATGACAGGATGGATAATGAAAAACCTTTCCCAAAACCAGGGAGGCCAAGCCCTTTGATGACACTCTTCAGGTCACTTGTTCTATCTAGGCTGGAATATTGCTGCACTCTAACAGCACCTTTCAAGGCAGGTGAAATTGCCGACCTAGAAAATGTACAGAGAACTTTCACGGCGCGCATAACGGGATAAAAAACACCTCAATTACTGGAGCTCTTGAGGTTCCTAAACCTGTATTCCCTGGAACGCAGGCGGGAGAGATACATGATTATATACACCTGGAAAATCCTAGAGGGACTAGTACCGAACTTGCACACGAAAATCACTCACTACGAAAGCAAAAGACTTGGCAGACGATGCATTATCCCCCCAATGAAAAGCAGGGGTGTCACTAGCACGTAAAGAGACCATACAATAAGTGTCAGGGGCCCGAGACTGTTCAACTGCCTCCCAGCACA